ATATAAAACACCGTTTCAAATCCTAATAAAAGCTTTCAGGCCAAAGAGGTCTCCTTAATCAATAAAAAAAAAAAATAAAGATGGAAAGTTTTTTATATTAGTATAATATTCATGTTCAACAATTTATAACTCTAATATTTAACTTTATAATTTAAACACGTAGAAACTTAATAAACTTTGCCAATTGCCAACGCCTACCTTTGTTCTTATGAAAACTCTTTGGGAAAAGTGATTGAAAACAATTAAAAAAGATTTTTTACTAGAAACACTCAAAACAAAGATATTTTATTAATAAATATGGGTACCTTTAGTTTAACTTTATATTAGTAGTCAAATAGTGAAATTTGCTAGTTTTTAGACTATAACTATTATCAAATTTTTAATTGACTATATAAATAATGTGTGTAACAATAATTTCAGAATCTATCGGATACGAATTTCTTATATATTTACATATATTCTGAAAGTTTTATACAAATCAGAAAACTTTTACTAAAGTGTTTTTGCATTATATATTAAAAATATAAAATGCAAAAACATCTTAGTAAAAAGATTTCTGATTTATATAAAACTTTCAGAATATGTATATTTTTATCTCCTGAACAATCTCTATTAAGTAACTTTTATAAATTTATTTAATAAAATTTGACTTTTATATATAGCAACTACTTGCACTTAATAAAAAATTACAAAAATGATCAAAAATCAATTATATCCAAAAATAAGCTACCTCATAATTTTTATATAACTTTTTGGCCAAAAAAAAGTAGCTTATTTTTAGAAACCTATAATAGTTATAGTTATTGTATAGGTTGTAAAAAATAACTAAATTTGTATAAGTTAAGTTATATAGCCTTTAAGCATGTAATATTATACGAAATTTAGTTATTTTATAACCATATAATAACTATTTTATTGCACAATGTCTGATATACAATTCTGTGCTAATAAATAAATAAAAAAGTACAAGTTGTTATATAAGACCTGTGCAATAAAGTTTAAAAATTATTATAAAATATATCTATGGTATTTTAGTATCTATATATAATTTCTTGAATAAATACATATCTCGCACTCTGCGATATGCTTATATATTGCACTTCAAATTTTATATATAATTGCAAAAAAATTTTAACTATTTTCTTAATTTTTTATAAGTTAGTTTTAATCTAAAGAAAATTAATTAAAATTTGTTTGTTTTTTTATAAATAATGATCTGCAAAATTAGCCAATCATATTAAGGTGCGATATATAATCTTAACGCAGGGTGCAAAGCATATTAAACTTCTAATTTTTTTTAATAAAATTTAGAATTAAAGTTAGAAAATTAAGAATTATTTTTTTTTTATATAATATATTATAGAGCTAATATAAGGTCCCAATCTCAGTTTTTATAAAGTTTTTAGAAGTCCTGAAAATTTTTACTTAGAAAACCCGATTCTGTTTACTTAATATGTTTTTGAGAAATAGAACCTATAGTATAAAAACACTATAGGTGTGTTTTAGTAAAATCCAAGTTTAATATCTGGTGCTAATAGCCAGATGTATTTAAAAAAAAAAATTTATCACATGTGTATAATACTTTTTGATTGTTTTAATTTAATTAGTACAACTATAATAATAGCTAGTTTATAAAAACATGTCACTATAAATAGCAACAAATAATTAATATGAGTAATTTTTTAGCATTAAAATTGTTAGTATGTTAGTATAGTTAATACTTTTTAAGATTTATATTGGCAGGTTTGTAGAATAAATCTAAATTAAGATCCCTGGATTTAACAATTGCAGAATATATAATAGCTGAAATTTTAGAGTTAGTCTTACAATTATATTGTTAAAATATATGAGCCTTAATATAAGTCAATTCTACAAATTTGCTAATATGTGTTATTATAACTAGTAAATTTATAATAATAGTATGTTTTTTTTAAAAAAAAATGTTGATATAACCAATTGTTGGTTAATCCAGCTATTAGTATAACCAGAGTAACATGTATAAGTTTTAAAAAATTAACTTAAATTTTATATTATAAAAATAAAAATATAAAACAATTTGCTCTAAAATACAGAAATATAACTTAAAAGAAAATAAAATTACTTTCTTATTAATATTTTAAATTATGTAAATTTTTTTAATAGTCTTTTTTTTTTTATATATACTTGTAATTCTTTCAAATTTGTTCATAGTTGTTGTCATCAAAAATGACATTATTTTTATCTTTGTCAATTTTCTTTTTATTTATTATACAAAAGCTGCTTAAAGTATCTTATTACAAAACTAATAAAATATTTACAGTATAAATAATAGTAATTTTTTCCTATTTGCCTATTACGAGCTTTTCTATAATTGCAAATAAATTTTTTAATGTAGTTTTCGCGAGTTTTCATCATGCTTCAATATTAAAAATTTCTTCAGCTTCAATAGCACCTTTACTATAATAAATATAAAAATAAAATATTATTCATGCTTAATAAAGAGTCACAATTTTCAGGTTGGATCTTTTTTATTTGAAAATAATTAATTGAAATTTTCTGTAGTTATTATTATTATTTATTATTATTATTTATTATTATTATTATTAGATATAATGATAGAATTTTTAATAATTAATTCAGAGGTCAGAGTTATTGTAACCTGTCCCAGGTTTTCTATTTGCCCTGTCGGGTGACCCGGGTGGCGACTTTTTTTAAACTCCACCAGACGGGTGATCCGAGTGAAGATTTTTTAGACGCTACTCAACAGAACCTGTTATTTTAAACGTTTTTTATTGATTTTAAGAACTTTTAATAATATTAATATTTATAGCATTTTATTATAGATTATCGTAATTGTTACACGAAATAATATATGATTTTTAATATGAGACTATGTATAGATTTGATTTACGTAGCACATCGAACACCCTAACGCAGTGTTGTGCAACGGTTTGTTCATTGGTAATTGTCACTTACTTTTGTTGTCTTATTTATCATGTCACGTAATAGATAAGACAATAAAATGATGCGACAAATGCCAATGGACAAACCGTTGTACAACACTGCCCGGGACGAGACAAGCTCGGGACAGTAATGTACAACACTGATAAGACGGTTTGTGGCACCTAAGCATATACTAATTATTTTTATACATAAAATCGGTAATACTCGTTTCCTTTTGTAGCTAAAATGGATACGGGTCCTAATTCAGTGTTTAAGAGCTTTTTTTGCGAGAGCAATAATCACGTGTTATACTAAAATCTATATAGCTTTTTTGTAGTTTTTTTGATCAACATCTTTAGTTACCCGATATATACCTATACAGAGAATTTTCTGAATCTTTCTTAAATTAATAATTACTAATCAATTTGCTGATTTACACATAAATCCATCCCATCGAACAAAAAAAGTGTAATTTAAATTTTAACAATTTATAATAATGACACACAAAAAGGCTATTGCAGTTCTTCGACCTGATAAACCCGATGGTAGTGTTAACGGTACAATCGTTTTCACTCAAGAAGGCGATAAAGTTACAGTGGATATAGATATTAAAGGACTTCCAGACGGAGAACATGGATTTCATATTCAGTGAGTATTTTAATAATGATAAAAAAAATGATAACGCATCGCAAAATATCAGATTAAGTAGTAACGAAACTTAATAACTATGAATGTTAATGAAGTTTCCTATTCTTGTGATTTCCTTTATTTACGCATATATATTTGTATGTCAGATTAATATCTGCATCATATTAATAAAATTATAAATCGTATTATTCTGATGCATAACTATATAATATATGTGATATAATAATCCTTCTAACATTTATATAAAAAATTAGTGAATTCGGTGATAATACTAACGGATGTACTTCAGCTGGACCTCATTATAATCCATTTAATAAGACTCATGGTAGTAAAGATGATGAAATTCGTCATGTTGGTGATTTGGGTAACGTTAAAGCAGTGAATTGCGCTGTTAAAGAACAAATCACCGACTGTAAAATCACTTTGGAAGGAGAGCACACGATTGTTGGGTATTTATCATTTTATCGAATATCATCATCCTTGATTATGATTAATAAATATTTATGTTGTCTATATTTTTTTTTTAAAAAAAAAAGACGCACTGTTGTTGTACATGAAGGTAAAGATGATCTTGGAAAAGGTGGACACGAACTTTCCCTTACTACTGGTAACGCAGGTGGTCGCCTTGCCTGTGGTGTTATTGGTATTCTGATTTAATCATATGTGCATTATTTTTCTGATCGATCTCTGTTATCTGAGCTAACATACTATATTTTTGTATCTTTAAATGATAAATAGGTATTTCCAAAGCATAATTGGAAACTATCAGAACAAATATTTTTAAAAATAAGTTCTTGAATTTGTTCTTCCATTTTATTTTTTTTTCGTTTATGTTTTTCAGAAACATGCGATAGTTTTTCTTAAACTGTGGAAGATCTAATAAAGGTCGCTATAAATAATATTTATTACATACAGCAAGTATAATATGTACATAAACTATATAATAAATCAAGAGCACTCTAAATACTTTATGACATCGAACTATTACAAATAACCAAAATGACTGCTCGCTGACACTAGCTTTACGAGGTGTCAATACAGTATTTAAAATAATCAACGAATCCTGTTAAATAATGTTATGGTTCACATCACCTATACGCATCAAACTTTCCGAAATTTTTATAGATTTTAATCACGTATCTCGATTATATCACCAAAGAAAAAATTATATTTAGTCCGAAATTTGAGAAACCTAACCTTTAATGTTTCACCAAGTAATAAACGATTAAAAAAAGTAAACCTGAAAGAGAAGCTTTAAATTTATTATATTTACGGTTTATGTTTTTAATACCACTTAAATTAAAAGACAAGATGTTATTTGAAATTATATGAATTTTTTTGATAAGTGACGTGAACCATATAAATATGATTCTACCATATGATATTGATATCTAACTACCAAATGCCCCAAAGGTTTTCTAGTTCGCAACAAAACCTTGAACATGCAACAGCAGCAGAAAGTGGATATTGTGAAATTCCAATTTTTTCATCTACCCAACTGTCTGCAAAATTGTCTGCTCCGTGAGCCATAGCCCCAATGGCAATGCAAATTGAATGATCAGAGGGCAGAGTAGGTAAATATTGTGAAAGACGGGCAGGTGTTGCATCATATGAAAGTGCTAAAGAAAGAAATTGACCATTTCATCAGATAATTAAATCTTTTTTTTGGTTTATATAATAATAGGAGAATACCTACCTAATTTCACACATCTTGTTGGAAGATATTGTGTTACGGGATTTTTAATTACGCGTAAGAGCTTCTCTTTCCCATCTGCTGAATGAATACTTAGTTTATGAAGAAGTTGTACTACATAAAATCATATTGTTAATAAAAAAATATTCAATTCGAATTTAATAATACTGGTCGCACTCCCATATAGTCACCTACGTAAACACAGCATATAGAAATCTTTATTTTTTAACTAACTACTGCTGAACTTGTGATTGATATCCAAATGTCACATTCTCAATATAAGGATTTTTTTAAAACTATAGTTACGACTAGGTAATTATACAGTTATAAAAAGTGCGACTATGATAAGCTTACCGAAAATTTATTATTATACGCACCCATTAAACCAGCAAACCGCTTAAATGTTCTAGGAATTCGAATATGTGGGCTAACTTCAATTAAAACGTTATTTTCTGTATGGATATAAATTTGCATTAACCCAGCTTTGTTTAGAGGGCTGTCCAATAAAGCCATCAAACACTAAAGAAAAAAAATAAACCTGATTTGTTAAAAACTGCAGGTAGAGTATAATCAAAATATTTTGAATTCTACCTGATGTGTGATATCTGGTCGGTAAACTCTATTAATGCCCAATTTTCGCAGTTCACTTTGGTGATCATCATAATTCATCAATTGATATTTCGGTGGCCTAGTGTTAGCAACCTTATAAGTTTCTAAACACGCTTTGTCTAACACAACGAACAATCTCCGCGTCGACTCTTTTTCCTCGAGAGTTTTTGGAAGTCTCGGAGTCTGTGGAACAAGGAAGACATTGGTTTTCGCATATGCATTGTTGTTACTTCCACTTTTCTCGTCTTTTAGTTCGTCGTCTTCTATCTTTGTTTTTTTATTTACTGGAACTTCCTCTTTATTTTTTTTACGTTTCTTCTCGTCGAGTGTCATTGTGTTGAATCTGATTTGTCAAATTTTATTATCCGATTTAAATAAACCAAAAGATCTGGTGTAACCACATGACATAAGTTGGCCCGCATTAACGTAATGCAGGTCAATTAACCTCAAAATTTTAATTCCGGTCAGAATATAATCGCCATTAAATAATTTATATACGATTTAAATAGTCTACAAAATTATATTTATCAAGAAGTCATCCAGACACTCTGGTCATAAATTATGGCTTATTATACATACTTGGGAATATAAAACACTTCATATTGGTGTGGTTTAATCATTCCAGATTGCTACAGGATTGTTATTCGAGATTAAAAATATAAAAAATCAATATATATTATATATATATATATATATATATCATTAAATAAAGTTGTTCTAGGTATCAAAATATAAACTATAATTAGGAATGTAAACATTAATCCAGAGCGCAATGATTATCGTAACTTAGTTAAGTAAAGGTAAGTTACGGCATTATAGCCTATAGCAGCTGTTTTCATAAATTCTGGGAAACTTAAAAATTTTTTCGTTTCCCGAAACCTCTTTGATCTTCTTGTTCTACTGTAAGAATCACCAAACTTTTCGGAAACTACGCCACTGTCTCTGTATCGAAGTTCTAAGGGCAGCGATTTAGTTCCGAAAATTTAGAAGATCTTTAGAACAAGATCGAAGAGGTTTCGAGAAACAAGAAAAATTTTGGCATCCCGGAATTTATGAAAACAGCCATAACAAGTTAAGCTTTCTCTACATAATAAATCATGTCTTACTAACAGATTCTTGATTTACATTGACTTTAATAATTGTCGCGGCTGATGCTGAAATTTAGGGTCCCAATTTAAATCTATAATACCTACTAAAATTCACATATACT